TTTAAAAAATTTTATCTGAGAACTAATATCAACTCCTATTTTTATAAATATTTTAGCGAACTACAAATGATCGAAAATGTTTTACTTGCGGAGCAACAAAAACTTCAAGGTGGTACCGTCATTCCAAACCTGAACACTATAATTGTGGTACGTGTTACAAAAAACAATATAGAATAATTAAGAAAACAAATAAAAATCAAACAGAACAGGAATCGATTAAATAGTATTTAAATGATTATGATTTTCTAGCTTTAATTTTCTGAGTTTATTGAACAAATTATAAAATTTTACAAAATATAACCTAGGTATATTATATAATATCTTTGAGAAACTTTTAGCGCCGCATGCGAAAATTTTAAGAAATTTGGGGGCCTTAAGCCAATTTGGTCCATTTTTGCGCCTCAGATTAGAAGGATAACAGGATTTGAGCATATAGTAGATTCCCAGATATCCTTACAAATCCCCAATATTTTTTTAAATCCATCTTAATCCCAGTAAATCAGCCGATATTCTTCTAAGTCAACTGATCTTTCCAACTAATCAACTGATCTTTCCCTTAACCACTCTTTATACTTCCTAATTTTAGCACCACATACGAAAATTTTAAGAATTTTGTGTTATTCAAAGTATATTAAATATTCTTGATGCAATTAAAGAAGTAATTGCTTCATAATTTCCATTTTGATTATTATCTTTGAAAATTTTGGAGGGGCCCCTAAAATAAATTAAGTAATGTATATTCGCGAAATAAGAAGTAAATTTAAAAAAAATAATTAATCAAAATAAATCAAACTCAATGAAAAAGACTTTTCAAATTTAAGAAATTTAAAAACAAAAATCTTTTACCCTTAAATTGGTGACAGGGAATTTAAAAATAAATTTAAATATTTAATATAAACAAAAACTTCTTTTAAAATGGTTCTACTTTTATGAACAATTTAATTTTCAAAAAAAATTCTTTTGTTCATTTTGATTAATTTTTAAATTTAATCCAAGGTTACCCCCACTTTACCTTATTTTTAATTAACGTCATAAAAAAGCGTGGAAAGGGAATGCCCTTGTAAATTAACTAAAATTCTTTTAAATTTGCTGAGAAATTAAAGCCTATAAATATGGAGTATGTTAACACTTAATAAACATAAAAAATATATTAAACCTCAAAAACCTCTAAAATAATAAAAATGTCTACTTTTTGCTTTTTATTAGTAGTTGCTTTAATTGCTCAAGTTGTTGTCTCGTTGCCGATTGCTGATAAGACAGTGTAAGTTTTAATCTTTTATTTCTAGTGTAGATTGAATAATAATTGAACAAGTACCTAGAGATGGCAGTTATTATTAGATGGTGCCAGGGCGATAACTCTCTTACTTCTCTTTAAAATAAACCTTAAGCCTCTATCTGAGCTTTAGTCAGCTGGATCTTCCTTTCTTACAATATACCTAACTATTATGTATACTAGGATTTTTTAAATAAATTTAATATTATATGAATTTTAAATTTTTTATTTAGCCATAAGAGACATGCCGCACCTGTTTATGTAGCACCTGCATATCATTATGCCCCGGTATTTTATTAAAATTTTATATTATTTCTTGAAAATTCGAAAGGGATTCAATTAAGGATTTAAAGATTACGGCAAATATTTATTAAAATTTAAAAATAGATCTTTTTTGAAACTAGGCACGATCACTTGATAATAATTTAAAAATATTTTTTAAGTCTGGCCTAGCAAGTTCTAGCTTTGTTTCTGGGGGTGGTGGAAGTGGAGGAGGAATTCAAAGTGTAATAGGTGGTGGCTATGGCCTTCCTGGATCCTCCTTTGTTGCTGGAGGAGGAGGAGGAAGTGGAGGTGGTGGAATTCAAAGTGTTATTGGAGGGGGATCTTCACTTGTTGCTGGTGGAGGTGGGTATGTACATACTGCAGGGTATGGCCATGGGGGATACGGCCATGGAGGATACGGGTATGGAGGATATGGATATGGAGGAAAATAGACAAAGAATAAATGATATAGAAAACAAAAATTTTCTAAATTTAATTATTTAATTGTAATTTAATGAATATACATATATTAAATTGAATTATCGAGGCTTTTCTCCTAACTTCATGTATTATATCACGTCGAGTAATAAGTTTTATCGGCCTAGCATCTTATTGGCATTACTACTTCATAGTTGTACATATCATTCTAAGGCTTAATCCTTATCTCTTTTGGCATGTTTCAGCGTTTTTTTGAATTTAAAATTTCTGACGTTTACGCGGATAAAGAAGATATGGTCGGATATCTCAAGAGTGAGATCTTAATAAAATGAGGTTTTAATAATTAAAAATCATTCTAAATAGTAACTAATCTTTAATATTTAAAAACAAATTTATTAATAATTAAAGATAAATTTAAAGTAAAAAAGATAAAAACAAAAATATATTTAATTATTAACTTCTTCTAATCTAATATTTGGTGGAGGTAATGAAGGAATTGGAGGAGGTAAAGGAATTAAAGGAGGGAAATTAGCCATTGTTGGTGTGCCAAGATAACGTTGTTGGGATAAAAAGTCTGTGCTGGAAGTTGGACTTCTATTTAAAAAATGAATTTATTTTAAAAAAATTAATTTTTAATTTTCGTTAACTTAGGAAAGAATAAAAATAGAGATAACGATTTTTTCATTTCGATTCTCTTAGTTCTCTCTCCATCCTTAAATAAATTAAAATATTTCCCATATTTTTGATACCAAAAATATTTATAAATTAATTTTTAAAAACAAAATTACAATATTCTTTCCTCAAAAGGTGTTTGATTTATTTTGTCATTAACAAATAAATCTCTGGTTGCATAATGTAGAAGAGAGGGTCTTCGAATTGTGGCAATTGGAAATTGTTGTTGACTGAAATGTTGAAAAAATAAAATTAAAAGAGAGGGGGGGGGGGTTCAATTTTGAATTTTAAGAAAAATTTAAAAGCACTAAAATTTCCAACCAATTCTTTAAATAATTTTGTGTATCATCTGGATCTGCATATTGACTTTCATTATCGTTTAATATTTTGTTGTCATTTTTATTATGATGTAATACAAGCCTAGCTATATCTATTAGCTCATTTTGTTGTTCTTTGTCATCAACAGAATCGAAGGGGATTTTAAGTAATACGTGGGATTGGGAAGAACAGAGGCGACCCTGAAAATAAACAAAATTAGAGTAAAGCGGCCGATCCAGTTCCAGAAAAGGCAAAAGATTGGATGAAACTGGGTGCCGGAAAATTGGGCTCTGGAAAATTGGGCTCCAAGATTTTTCGGAAATTTGGGCTCCAACTTTTCGGAAAATTGGGCTCCAGCGGTAATTTGGGCTCTGCGTGAAAAAATCGGAATATTGGGCTCTAAAATTTTGGGCTCCGGAGGAATTTTGGGCTCTGAGGAAAAATGTCAAATTATGCAAACCTACGGAGCGAAGTCGATTTCTGGGTTCGCAACCTACGGCCAGTTGGTCTGGGTGAGTACTTGGCCCTATTCCTTTAAAGTATACTCAAATTGGCTCAAATTGGTCGGTCCGATTCAGTGGAATTTGATAAAGAAATCCTATTCCTTCCAAGAACAGTTGGGCGTACACGCAAAATCTCCCGATTTCGAAGACTCATCTCTAATTTTTGCATAATTTGACATTTTTCCTCAGAGCCCAAAATTCCTCCGGAGCCCAAAATTTTAGAGCCCAATATTCCGATTTTTTCACGCAGAGCCCAAATTACCGCTGGAGCCCAATTTTCCGAAAAGTTGGAGCCCAAATTTCCGAAAAATCTTGGAGCCCAATTTTCCAGAGCCCAATTTTCCGGACACCGATGAAACTTGCTCCTGAGAATTCTCCGATCGAAGATTGTTAACCGTTCAATTCATACTATTTTGTTATATTTGCTAAAATGAGGGTAAACTTAGTTGACTTTGCACAAGCATCGTGTATAACTTATGGCACTTTTTAGAATGAAAATTATTTCTCAAGACATAATACTTAAGTCCTTTTTTTTAATTACCTTTTTAGTTTCAATTTTTCTTCTAGCTCCTTGTAATAATTGTTGTAACAATAATGATTTAGAATGTCGCAAAGTTGAGGGAGAATTATTAAATGAAATTGTTGCTTTAGATGTTAAAGAAGATGTTCCGTTTTTGTAACAATTTTTGGATGTATTTTTTGGAGATCTTTTTTGTCGAGAAGAGAAGAAAATTGAACGAAGGCATAAACAAAAGGCAGTTATTGAAAGACATAATCCAAGGAAAATAACTAAAAAGTAACAATAGATTTTGTAAAAATTATTGGCTTTCTTAACTAAACTATGAATAATCAGCTAAAATAAAGTCCCTCTAAATATATAAATTCAGGCATGATAATGGATACGGATACAGATAAGTTCAAAATGCCTGCAGATAACCGTCTGTATCCGCCGTAAATATCCGGATACCAAAATCCATGCCCATTACCAAGTCTGCATAAATTGGTATAATTTCCCGTGTATTATTTTAAAGTAAATATAGTAAGCGAAGTAGTCGTAAAAATTATTTCAAAAATTCAGCTTCGAAAATCCGATAGTTTTTTTATGTATTATGTCTAATTACTAGCCCTAATATCCATCCATCTATCGAAATAAACTTACATATAACCATTAAATAACAGATTATAGATTTATTAATAATATTATCATCTGATGAAAGCTCTATATAATCACTTTCATCGTCTTCATAAGAAGTTAATAAAAGGTCTTTTTCATTTTGAAGCAGATCATAATTGTCAATTAAAGATTCGTCCTCTTAAATTTTTAACAAAAATTCCCAAAAAATTTTCCCCCCACCAACCAGTTTCAAATTTTATTTCACTTAATAATAACCACTCCGCATTTAAACCAAAAAATAATTCAATTCGTAAACGAGATGCAATTCTTTGAGGAATTGGAATACGTATCCAACGAGCATTTTCGAATTGAGAATCTTCCGGGAATTTTTTCTAAAATTAAATTTATTTTTTGTTTTTTAATTTTCCAAATACCTCAAGAATTCGAGTTGAAAATTCCCCTCCAAGTGGTGAAAAATGGAGACGGGCAGAGCTAAAAATATAAGCACCCCGCTTTCGAAAATTTGAAGTGTGGAGTAAAATTGCCGATAAATTCTGTTTTCGTTTAAATAAAAATTCGAGAGGAACAAATTGGCCTTTAAATAAATAAATTTCGAAATCAAAATTATTCTACCAATTTTTTGACTTCTATGCCAACCAATCCAATGACTAGGAAATTCTTCAAAATTATCCTTCCCTTTAATTCCATCAAAAAGCTGTCCTAAACCCCCACGCAACCAAACAATATCAGACAATAAATTATTTAAATTTATTGAAGATTCTGGTAATTGTGGAACAGTCCAACCATCATAGCTAATATCACGTAAATCCAAAGCATCGACTATGGCGCCGGTTGGTGCAGAATAGGAGATAATAGGCTCTGAATTTAAAGATTCTATTCATTGGCTTAAGGAGTTTTGTGGCCTAAAAGAGATTGTCTTTTCTCTTAATTTTTCGTCTATATCAATTCGAATGACGAAGGGAGCTCAAAGACTAAAGGAACTTTAAAGAAGTTACAATCGAAGTGCCAACTATAACTCAATTGTAAATGTACCTTAATAAGTGAGATCTGTGACTGTACTATGAGCATAGAAAAACAAATATATACCTTTATATAAACACCCATAGAGTTCAAAACGTAGACAAACAGTTCGAATTGATTCACTCACTGGAATTAATCTTACTAATTTGGCAATTATTCCTCCGTCTAGTAATCGAAGGACGGCGGTTTGGGTATTCGAATTTGCCGAAATAATCTTTAAAATATTTTATAATTAAATTATTTTTAGATTTTAAATTAAAAAAATATCCTAATATTCAATTTAAATTTTAGTTTTGTCGAAATCAAATCCTTCTCTTAAATGTCTCTAAGCAAGAAGCTCCATTAAAACGATATAACAAAATATTCCTTTCAAAAATATATCCATAACATCCTTTATTCTATACTTTCCATAATTCTCCTAAATATTTAACCAAAAATTCTTGGATTTTTTCCACAAGTTTTAGATAACGTTCTAATTTAAAATACATAAATATCCAAAACATATATCCCCCTACCCAAATATAAATATATTTTATTTTATTTCAAATTTTATTTTTCCTTTCCTCACTTTCCACATTCATTTCAATTTTTCCTTTTCCTATTTTGGTCATTTTCTTTTTCAATAAAAGCATCTTCTCCCCCTTTAATGCTTCATCAAAGATTCCGTTCACTATTGTGAGACAATTTCCGCTTAAATTCTTTTCAATGCAATAATACTTTTTTTCTTTATAAATTTTCTAAAATGTCATGGTTGCCAACCAATTGCTTTGGACATTTAATGCGCACATTTTTATTTAGGACAAAAGTAGAAAAAGAAATATTGAAAATAAGCATAAATGAGGGGAGGATTTGTTAGCTAATGGTCAAAAGAATTGGCGGCTATTATGTAAGAAAGATATATTTTAGAAGAGAAAAATGTTTATAGGAAAATTTGAAAATTTTATAATATAAATCAGGGATATAAGGGATCTCTGGATCGGGAATTCTGGAAATCGTGAATTTAATTTTTATATATGTCGGCAGGATCCCAGATTTATATTAAAGGAGATAAGTAACAAAAACTGATTTTTTAAAATTCAACCTTAAATGTATATTTAATCTTAACTAATATCCATTTTAAAATATTAGTGCTATAGCGTGATTTTTTCGATAGTAAAAGGAATTGGAAAATAATGCCATGAATTATTTTAGTGAGAATATGGTAATAAAAATTTCTTAAATTTTGAGAATAATTTATTTAAGATTTACAACATATCAGAAAATTTTTTGGAAGTAAATGAGATTTGTAAAGATTTTTAAAGATTTTAAATATAAAGATCCTTTGTTATTTATTTAAATTTGTATGTAAATCCCCTTCTACATATGTGTTATCTTTATGTTTATTATTATTGTAATCCAATGTGTTGTCAATTCAAACAAAAGTGTGCAAATCGGAGAAAATAAAGAACTATAGAGAAATACACAACATTGATGGCCTTGACTTGTGCCGATTTTCGATTAAATATAAATTTATTTATATCAACATATATAATTTATTTATATCAACATATTTATTTATATCAACATATATATTTATAATCAACATATAAGGGGTTTAATAAAGGAACATTTTTTGATGAAAATAAAAGGGAAGAACATCAAAATATACTTGAATTTTAATAAAAAGACAGACGACATGACAAGAGGGTTTTTATAAAAAAGATGATGAACGACAGATGCGCGGAAATATTCACAAGTGAAGAAAAAAGGGAGATTTAGATTTTTATGAGGATAATTTTATTGAGAAGGAAAGATTTTATTTAGTCAAAATAAAATTAAATAATAAATTAATTATGCAATTTTTTAATTAAATAAATTTAAAATAAAGATTTTATTTTTTGATAATTTTGAGGAGTTTATTTTGTTTTGAATAGCTGAAAAATTTCAAATCTTTTGATCTTCGAGAAAAACAATATTCGAATGTGACGATGATTTCGATACGTGACTAGAATGGTTTGGACACTTTATGTGAAAACTAAGTTATAACGTTGAGGTTAATACCAAAATAATTGGAGGTAAAACAAGCGAAAAATGTGTAAGAGATAAAATGGGGCTCCTAAAATTCAAAATTTCCAGATTTGTGGGGGTCAAAAAGTTCAGGAATTATCGTAATGACACATTTTACACACATATTTTCTCAAATAATTTATGTTTTTACCTCATTTCCAGTGCTGTCTTTATATCGTGCCCAACGACCCAATGATGGACGCCAATATTCGATCATGTAAGCAGAAGGAAATTCTAACCCTCTCCCTTTATCCCAACGGCCTTGAGTACGTACCTAAAAGAACATTTATTTTATTTTTTATTATTCTCTCATAATTACCCCAACAATAAAATATTCATCTGCTAATTCTACTTGGATCCATTCGTGGGATGTAGCATTAATTTGAGACGATGGGCACCTAAAAAAGAATTATTAAAAAAATGGTGATCATTTAGATGGAAGAAATTAATTTATTTAAGAGAAAAGCAAGTTTGGAATAGGACTGGATTATTGTGTGAAATATAGGTAGTTCAGGTACTATTGTAATCAAGTTACAAGTCCTTATAGTCTAGTTGATAAAGCCAAAAATGGACGGGATGCCTGATCGGACAACAACAAAATTTGAGAAGGTTATTAGAACCCCTTTCAGCTCTCTTATCAAGAAAAGGTTTATTAAACAATAATATCAAGGAAGCTTTGTTAAAAAAATAAAACAAACCATGCCCCGCTACCACTTTCAGTGTTTAACCTAAAATTAAATATTTAAAACAAAATTTAAATTAATTTAAATATTTTTTTATTTTTTTCTCTTTCATTTATTCAAATATTTTTCCATTCATCTTCTTTTCTATTTTTATAGCAAAAAGTCACAAAACAAAAAAAGTAAAGTAAAAACAAATAAAGAACTTAAAAAAATTTTTTTTACTTTTTACTGACACAAAATAAAAATTCATATGGGAATTGAGTGGAAAATAGAGTGGACACAAAAACAAAAAAAAATAAATTTATAATGCAAGGAATATGGCTAAAACATTAATTCAGCTGGAGCTTATACCTAACTTATTTTTTATTCAAAAAATAAAAAAATAAATGAGAATAATTTAGAAAAATAAATATTTTAATCAACGGTAAAAGAAAAATTAAAATATATATTTTAAAATTAGTTAACTTCTTGGGGGATGGTCAAGAGGATTAATCGAGCTTTATCGATAAAAACTCAGTAGTTTACCTATTCGTAAATAAAATTTTTGAGTCTTGTTAAATAAAAAATTAAATTATAATAAAGTCCGGTTCGATTAGATTTTTTCGATTTCTAATCTAAAAAATAAAAAAGATAATGTTGTGTAATACTTAACTTAATCTTTCAATATTTTAATGTTCCCCCAAAAATTTTCTTTAATTCTCCCATTTTCTATTATTTATTTATCCCTTTTTATTTTTATGTGCTAAACAAAGGATTAATTACACAATAGGAAAAAGATATTTTGCAGATTGTGAACATTTATATAAATTTTAGACTTAATCCCTTCAAATATAGAGAATGAAAGAGAAAAATAAAAATATATAGAGGGAATTTAAATTTAAAAATGTATTTTTTAATTAAAATTAACCTAGAATGTATTGGACTTGTACTTAACGGATCAAAAGAAGAAGAGGCACTTATCTGCTCATCTAAAATTCGCCCTGATTCCATTCCAAGTGATTGAATACATTCATCTATTTAAATTTAATTTTTTTTAGATTTTTCTTTCCAAAATTTTTTTATTTAAAAAATTTTCCCCTTTCAACATCATTTTTTTATTTTCCCTTTTATTCACCCTTTATATATTTAAATATAAAGTCCATTAAAAGCCCCCCTCCTTTTAATCAAACATTTATATAACTTGAAGGGGGAAGTAATGGAGGGAAATATTAAATGGCTTTTAAGTGGTTTCTTTTTTTAAATAATAAATACAAAAATTTTTGTTGGTTTGTAATTATTTAACAAAAAAAAAAATTATTCTTTTCTCAACATCAAAAAAAATTTTTTTTGACAATTAGTGTCTGTTTTTTCTTTAAAAATTATTTTTTTATTCTTAATGTTTCTGAAGAACCTTTTGACCTTCTGAGAAAGAATAGAAAAAAATACAATAACAAGATACTTATTTTTTAAAGTATGGAGAGTGTAGTGACTATTATTAATTATTTTGTGTCCAAATAAAAAGACCCCTTATATTTTATTTTTATAAAAATTGGGGAAAGAAATAAAGACAATCTTAGCACCTTCTATCAAAAATAATATCTTTTGTGTTATTTGGGAGGGAAGTGTTTTTATACAAAAATTGGTTTTTAAAAGAAATAACGTAATTTATAGTTAGAGGTAGGGTTGGGGGTCTGGTCAGGTTCGAAAGCTAGAAAAAAATGACCCGAAAAAAACGGAAACCCCAACCCTGGTAGAGGTTTCGGAGTATTTTTAATGTTTTAAAAAACATAATTCTTCTCAACATTTTAAAAATAATTTTCTAATTAATTAAGAAGGAATGGAATAACAAAAAAAAATTAATAGCCAAGTGATCTGTATAAATTTAAAACTAAAATATTTTTGTCCTTTTTCTCCCAAAAAAATATTTAATAAATTATTTTTCCATTTACAATCCCCCCATAAAAATGTTCAAAAAAAGAAGAAAAGATTTATTTCTATCCCCCTCTTCGTTCCAAAATTTCCTCCAACATTTAATGCGCATTGAACAGAAAAATATTTAACCAAAAATTCTTTAGCCAAAGAGAGATTAATATTTTTAAAAAACATACTTTCTCCTCTTCTTATTTTTAGCTTTTTATTCAATATTTTTTTATGTTTTCTTCATTTTTCTTGTCTAGTGCTAATCCCTCTAAAGCGAACTGCGCATCGTTTTTTGCCCTAATTTTTGGACTCTTCTCCTTTCTAATCTCCCTTTTGGGGAAACCCGTAGAGTCAAAAATAGATTTAAAAAAAACTGGTATTTTATTTAATATTTAGAAATTTTTAATTAATTTAAAAATAAAAAAAAATATTGGGAAAGAATTAAAAAAAGGGAATTTTGTTTTAGGGCAGGAAGTTGCCTTTAATATTTACCAAAAATTAGTGTTCGGCATTTGCGATTTTTCGAGATCGAGATCGAGATTATCGAAAAATCTCGATCTCGAAAAAATCTCGATTTTTTCAAAAATTGATCGAGACGAGATCGAGATCGATAATCTCGAAAAATCTCGATCTCGAAAAATCTCGGTCCAAAATTTTCGAGATTATCGCGAGATTTCGAGATTTTTTATAATCCCTTAGAATTGAATAAAAATTTATTTCAATCAATATAATTATGATCTAAATGTAAATTTAATATTTGTAATGAATCAATGGAAGGGTTTGGTTAAGGAATATCAACATTTCAGCTTTTTCTGGACTACAAAAGTGAGCGACGATAATCGAAAACGTCTCTTGCAATTAAGGTTGGCGGTTCCTGGGAAATCTTCGGTTATCCGGAACCGGAACCGATAACCGAACCGAAGATTTCGGTTATCCTGACAATCCTGAAAACTGAAAAAAAGGCAGAATTTCGGGGGTCGAACCCAAAGTGGGACGAAACAAAAGGGGACGAAACAAGTTTTTTACATTGGGACGAAACAAAAGTTTTGTTCAGGGGGACGAAACAAAAGGGGACGAAACCAAAGCTCGCCAATTGAAACAAATAATAATTAACAAAACGCCAAAATTTATAAATACTGATCACGAAAAATCTTTTTTAAAAATATCGAAATATCGAAAAATCTCGCGATATTTCTGACTTGACCGAGACGAGATCGAGATCGATAATCTCGAAAAATCTCGATATCGAAAAATCTCGATTTTTTCAAAAATTGATCGAGACGAGAGCGAGATCGATAATCTCGAAAAAAATCTCGCGATATCTCGAAAAATATCGTCGATATATCGTCTCGTGCCGAACACTACCAAAAATATTTTTATTTTCCAAATTGAAGTAAAAGAGAAAATGCAAAAGAGAATATCTCCTTTAAGAAATATAAACAGATTTATGACTTAAAGATTGGAGAATGCGCAGGAAACCTCAATCAAAGAAAGTGCCAATGAAATAAAAAACAGAGAATCTATCTAATTGTTTAGTAGAAAATTCCGATTCTCCAAGACTTGGGAAACTGAGGACTTGATGTCATCTCTCTACAGAATTTTTATCTTCTATCCCTCGCAGAGATTATCGTAATTAAAAATAAATATTCAAAAAACCTAAATAAAAAAAGACAGAAAATTCAATCAGATAAATATTTATTTATTTCTTTATTTATTATTTAGAGGTGTCTGTTAGATGTAAAAAACCCATAAATTTATAAGTTCGCCACCCCCAACAATTGTTCATTTAAAAAGATCCAAAATCAAAAATTTTTTCATTTGGAGTACTGTATTTATGGGGTGTCAAAAATCTGAACAGAGTTAATGAAGAATTAAAAGTGTGAAAATCTAATAAGTAGTAGAGAGAAGATAGACAAGTGTTCAAAAATAAGACAAATCAAAATAAAGATTAAAAAAATATATCCTAGTACATTACTGTAATTTTAATTTGGATTACTAACCTTAAATACATTACAAATGGGGACAAAATTTGAGGGGAAAAATAATTAATATAATTAGCATAGAAATTTATACACATTATTTTAATTTTTAATTTTTTTAATTAAATTATTTTCTCATTTTCTAGAACAGTGACATTTCAATAATTCTTTCTTTAAGAAAGTTTAAAAACAAAAAGAAAGGCGGCAATCATTTAAAAAAGAAGAAAATTTTGTAGAAGCTAAAAAGTGCCGCGATGATTGATGTTTTTAAGCTATTTTAAACATATTTTTTTATTGACCTACAAAAAAACAAAGCTTATCTTTAAATAAAATAATTAGAGATTTTTATAAGATTCTGAAATTTATGGAGGAATAAAATAATTAAGGAAGCAGGTCCGGGACGCCCTGATATTGTTCGATGCGCCTCGACGAGCTGGATCGAATCGTACCCGGGCGTCTCGGATTCGACAATTTTGAACATATAGCTCTGCGGTACCTTGGGGTGTACCAAATAATTAAATATCTCGACTATTTTTGGAAAAATTTTAAAACATAGATAACTCTTAAATTGAGAGATAATTTTGGTGTATCTAAAAAATTTTGGGGTATCTAAAAATTAGGTTTATAAAAAATAAAATTTAGAAATAATTAACCATTAAATATAAAAAATTATTTTTTAAAAATCCAAAAAATAATTATTTTTCACTTTTCTTTGTCAAATACCGACTATTTAATTGGTTTGAACAGAAAAATAAAGGTTAAACTAATGCCAGAAGCCGTGGCTTTGAAAAAAGGATAAGCGAACGGATGATGAGTGGAAATGAATATAATAAAAAATTAAAAAAAAAGAAAAACCGACTCAAAAATAATTTAAAAATAGCCGGAAGTTGGGGAAGAAGAAGAATTATTAATTTAAGAAAAAACCTACCGATATTTGGAAGGGAATTTATTCTTTTAAAAATTGTGAGAAATATTAGAATAATAAATTTAATTAAAATTGTTGAAAATTGTGAAGTAAAAAAATTAAAATTAAACATTTAAAATTAATTAATTAATAACTAAAAATAAATAATAATTAAATTATAAAGAAAAATTAACAAATTTAAAATTAAAATTAATTAACAAATTTAAAATTAAAATTAATTAACAAATTTAAAATTAAAAGTTAAAAGAGGATAGTGGACAAAAGCAGAACACACAAGTGTGAAAAAGGAGGGAAAGGATGTTTGAAAATTTAGGAAAAAGATAGAGAGAATGGACCGCCCCAAAGGGAAGAGGCGTTTCTTTTAAAAATTGCAACAATTTTTAATAAATTTTATTTTATTTTATTTGTCACTTTGGGTGACATTACAAAAATTAAAAAAATGAGGGAGGGATAAAAACTCCGCGATAAGAAATTTATAAAAAATTAAATTTAAAAAACCTTCAATTAATTAAATCTATTTAAATTTAAAGGGATTCCCAACCAATATTTATTTAATATACTAACTTAATTTCTTATCAGTCTGGTAGAAAAACATTTAATTTTCCGATTTTCCCACGGTAATATACTGCAAATTTTGTCAAAAATGTTTTTGTCTTTCCTAAATATTTTTAGGTCCTTATTCTAAAAAATCAAGTGTTTGTATGTACATATTTCTTGTGTGAATGAAAGTCAAAAAGCATCAACCGCCCCAAACATATTTTCGCACAAAAATATTTTTAGGAAAAGAAAAATAAATAAATAAAAAGAAAAAAAAAGTCATTAGAGCATTGCTGATCAAATATTCGGAAATTGGTAAAATATGGCAAATAAATAAATAAATATATTTTATGCAAAAATAAAAAATATATTATATTGCTGTCAACTAAAAAAAGAAAAAATGGATCAATTCAAGCTTTAACAAAAATATGCAACCATGACGAAGAAATAAAAAAAATTTTGAAAAAGAAAAAGTTATTTTTATGATCCATAAAGTGCCAAATAAAATAAAAAAATTTTTTTTGCTATCCAAGAAATTCAAAGAAATTAAAAAATTAGTTAGTAAAAAATTTTAATAAATAATAATTTTAATTTTTGAATAAAATAATTAGAATTTTTATCTCGTTTAATCTAAACAGAAGAGAAAGGATGGAAGCAAATCTTTAAAGTTCATACAAACGAAGAAAAACTAAAGAGGAATAGGATCTAGAACAGAACAGAAAGGATGGACATCTACAGATAAACCAGATCCAGAAAAGTTTGTTTAGTTAATAATTTTCAGAATGAAACTTGGATAATAATACCTAATTTATTGTCTAATTATTTTTCTATCAAAGAAAATTTTTGCAGAAAAATTTTTAAGAGAAAACTGATACTTTTTTAAAAGCACGTTTTGTGAATTAAAAAACTTTTTACTTGTAAAATAAGCCCATTTAAAATATAAATCTTACTGAAACATTTTTGGATTATATCCACATATTTAGAATTTATTTTTACAGTAAATTACCCTAACAAACAAAATTTCTCGTTGCTATTAATTAGTTAGAATTTTGAAAAGGTAAAAATTTATTTTTGTGAAGGTGCGCAGAAATCGTCAAAATAATTTTGGAGTAATTGAAAGAATTATTCGCGATAACTACAAATTGCTTTTTATTGGAAGTGAGAAAAATACAAATAAAAAAATCATCGAGAGAAAGAGGAAAGCTCTAAATAAAAATAATTTCATTTATTTAACAACTGAAGCGAAGAAAAAAAAGAGGACTTTCTAGTTATTTACAAATGTGTCAAAAATGTCCTTTTCATCCCAATCGTTCATTATTTTATGGAGAACTGGAGAAAAAGGGCTTTAAAATATGCTACAAAAATTTTGTTTGGAAAATGTTGGGAGATTCTTTTGAGCTGAAAAAACAATTTAGACAGAGAATTATTTTGTATTAATTCAAAATTGGAAAAATGAACTTTGATTAAGGATATTTGAATTTAACTAAATTGAATAAAAATATTCAAGACTAGATTAAAACTTTCTGATTTTTTAAAAGTAATTACAGATGTTTCCAGAATTTATTTGTATTTTAATCCCTCTAAAATAAAAATCTTCTTCTTTTAGCTGACAAAAACTAAAAACAATGAAAATTTATGACATATTTTACTTTTTTTCTCTCTCTTAAAACATTTTCAGCCATAAAATTTCACTTAAATTAATTCCTTCAAATATTTAACCCAACTTCAAACTTAAGAAAAAAACCAATTTTGGTTTTATGTCTACGCTAAATTTTTTAAAATAAAGATGCGATCCTGTATTTATTTTAAAAATTAGGTAAAGACTAAAAATAAAAATTGCCTTAATTTTCAACAATTCTCTCAATTTCATAGAATAAAATAAAAATTAAATTAACTATATTTTCTTTTTTATAAAAATAAGTCAAAATTTTCTTTTTATTTTCAAAATTTTTTTAAGTAAAAGTGCATTCATCCATTTTTGGAGTAGTTTGCGCGCCTAACTACTAAATTGGAAAAATTCCATTACTGCCAAAAACAGACATTTATGGAAGGCAAAACCATCCAATTTTGAGAATTCAATTTAGCTAATTCAAATAGCCTTTATTTGGACAAAATCATTGGACAGATAAAATTATTTGCAAACTTAAAATAATATCCTAAATTGAATTTGTGAAGATAAAAAATTGGAAGAATTCAAAATATTTGCCAAAAGATCCCTTAATATTATCAATAAAAATTTAACGAGTAATTATGCTTGACAAATAATTTACATAACTTGCAAAGGAAACAATCCCAAAACAAAAAAACTTTCAACATAAAGTAAAATACAAACAAAAAGGAGGTTAATAATTTAATAAAGTTAAAAAAAGCTTTGAATCGAAAATCTTTGCGAGTATATTAACTAGTCTCAACCTATCACAAATGCCGGGAATTTCCTCCCATCATTAGGTGTTGAAGTAAACATTGGAGAACCAATGGGAGAATCAAGTCGAAGCTTCCTTTTAGCACTTTTAGTGATTCCAATGTTATTTGGAGTTTTGTTGTTTTGATGAGAAGGTTTGAGTAATTGATGCTGTTTTGTACCATGAGGGCGCCAAGGCTTTGAAGCAGCCTTAAAATACAAATAAGGTTATTTTACAAAAAGATAATGGAAGACACGCGTCTATAATCATTGTCAGATCACCTCACTATAAAGTGTTTATATTTTCCACAAATTCTATATACTAGTACATATTTAAAATATTACCAAAAGATTAACGGGCACTTGCTTATTCTTTCCAAATACAGACATAGCTGGAGATGCACCATTTACAACCTTCATCGCAGGACGCTTCTTTGCAATTGGAACTCTTTCGAAATTTTGTATTTTTGGTATAAACTTTCTTCGGACAGTAACTCTCTCCGGACAGTTTGTTTGAGATGGTGTAAATTGAGGATTAGCCACACTAATTTGATTGTTTGCCTAAAATAAGAAATATTTTAAAATAAAAAATTCAAATATCCCAAGAGTTCGAATAAGAAAAAATAATTTTTGAGTAATAACCATCCAAAAGAAAAGAGTAAGTAATGCGATAATTTGATTTACAAAGCAAGGGATTTTTACATGAATATTTAATAAATGCAAAAGACTTACGTCTGTTGAAGTGAGCGGCGACCTAATCAAATTTCGATCATTCTCCTCGTTATTCATTTGCACTTGCCGCATATCCAAATGTTGGGATGGAACATTTATTGATTCTTTCAGTTGGAACATTTCTAATTTCAGTTTCTCAATTTCTTTGTTTTTATCTTCAATTTCCTTGTTTTTGCCCTCAATCTCCTTATTTTTCGTCTCAAGCTCTTTACACTTTTTCTCAATCTCTTTGTCCTGCTCCTCAATCTTCTTCACTTTTTCATCAATAGTCTTGACTTTTTCCATGATTTCTTTATTCTTTTTATCGATCTCCTTGCCTTTTCTTTCATTCTCTAATCGCTCCTTTCCAAGCAGTTCACCAAGTTCTTTAGTTTGTTCCTTCATTGTCTTCATTTGCCTGAAAATTAATATAGTAAATATAAAAGCATGTAACACTAGAAATTTAAATTTTGGTTGAGAGGTTCAAGCCTATTGCCTAATCAAAATTTTCGAAAATTCCATGGTTTAAAATAGATTTAGGATTATAACCGTTTTTTGTAAGTTCTGCCCGACTTTCTTGTCTCAAGTTTTATTTTCATTAGTTTTACAACAGAAATTCGAAACAAACCTCAAAAGCAAGTTTTTTTCTCCATGTTGATTCTCAAGAATACCTTTCAAGTCTTCAAATTGTTCATTAATTTTCAAATTATTTGCTGCTGCATTAGTAATCTTTTCGATCTAAAAATATTCACAATAAAATTTTCAAAGAAATTTAAAATAACTATTTGATGAAATTCAAAGTCTTGAATTTCAGTTTCTTCAAAATGATGATCTGACAAGCTCGTCACCCTGTCAAGCTCAATTGAAAGTTGCTGCTCTTCAAGTTGTTGATCAGAAAGCCTCGTCACCTTGTCATACTCAACAGAAAGTTGTTCACCTTCGAGTTGTTGATCCGACAATCTTGCCTCTCTGTCCGGTTCATCAGAAAGTCGTTGATCTACTGACGATCTTGCCACCCGACCATGTTCAACTGAATGACAAGCAATGTTTTCAACTGAACTCGTCCTTACGCACTTCGGACAATTTTTAGCTTCCTAAAAATATGAAAATATTAAAAAAAAGAGAAGAAACAAACTCTAATCCACTTAATTATGCATTCATTGTGATATAAATGGCCGCAACAACAGCCAACGCCGGACATTGAGAATTAGGATTTGTATGTACACGCAAACAAAAATGGATGCTCCTATTTCAATTAAAATAATAATTAAGGCTGATCCAGCTCCGGAGACCTAATTAAAGTATGACATTAAAAAAGTACATGAAACGTTAGTTAAAAAATATTAATTGGTGTTTAAAAACTAAAACCAAGTTAAAACAAAAATATTTATGTTAGTAAATTATTTTATAAAAAAGATTAATTTAAGAAGAAATAATTATATTTAGGTATATATTTCGACAACGATTATATTTCGTCTTCCTTACTCTTACTGTCTTCTTGTTCTATATCGTTCACGACTGTCATTAATCTTTGATTGCTTATTGCAGTTGGAATAGAATCAGTTCTTGGACTGTTATTTTTCGAATCTAATGAAGAATTAACAACATTAGGATCAACTTCTTCAAAGTCTTCGTTATCTTCTTCGTCTTTTTCGTGTATTTCTTCTTCACTCTCTTCTTGATCCTCCTCTTCCTCATCTTTTTCATCCTCTTCTAGATTCCCCTCTTGTTTCTCTTCACTTGAATGCCCTTCATTCATCGTTGATCCACTCTTTTTATTTGCCAACATTTTCTTAAAATGCATTTCAGCATCCACACTGCCTGCATTCGTTGGAGGGGCTGAACTGTCTCCAGATTTGTTTGAATGATTAGAAGCTGGCCTTGCTAAATGAGAAAAAATTTTTAAAAAGTAGTCTAGCAAGAATTTCTTACGTATTTCCTTAGTGAGCAATGAGCTGAAAAAATTTGCCAACATTGTATTATTACTATCACCTCCACCAGCTTGACCTCCAGCTGCTCCCTTTCCTCCTTGTCTAGGCGATTGCTGACCGCCAGTGCGCGGTTGCCCAGGATTTGAAGAATCAAATGCTGTCATCGACGCTAATCTATTCAAAAATACTTGCTCATCTTCAGCTTCAATTTCTTTTTCGCCAAAATTTTTGTTAGTGAATGATAGAAGAGTATCGTTCTGTTGAGCGAGAAGAGGAACTTGACCGGAGCCATAACCAAGTGATTCTTTGACAATTGAAAGTTTTTGCTCAGAGTCCCAACCCTTAAAATATAAAAACATGAATTGATTTGTACAGTTAAATTAATTTATACCGTCGGTACAAAAATGCTGTCTTTCTCGACAATATAGGCAGGTGTTGTAAATGGAAGAGCATATATTCGATGGCCAATGTATTTTAAGAGCATTTGTGTATTTAAATCTTCCTTTGCAGATGTATAAAACTAAAATGAAAATATTGATGCAAGAAAAAACTTTAAAAAATACCAGAGCAGCTCCATGTCTCAAACAAAATTGTCGAACATGATATTGAACTTTATCAAGTTGTTCAGTACTGAATTCTGTGTGCAAATCGCTCTTGGTGATAACAACAAAAAGAGTAGCACCACAGTTCTCTTCGAGAATTCCTTTTTCTGGAGGTAATAAAAGTGGAGAAGAAGGACGTTGATCGCCAACCATAGACCCAATATTAGAAGACGGGCCTAAAATAGAAGAAAAAATGTAAATGTTAAAGATTGTTACCATCCACTAAAGTAGCTGTGGAATGCAAGGAACTCTCAATTGGCTCAACATATTCTTGCCAAAAGCGAATTTCTGGAAGTTTAATTGTAAATAACAAATTATATAAATATAAACATACGCATTTGTTGAGCTTGGAAAATTTCATCCGCCGAGTAATGCTGCCTTATCTGCTCATCAAGTAGTCTATACCAACGTCTAAGAGTTGGCAAAACATTTCCAGGTTGTTCAAGAGACGCACACAAAATAACTACACATTTGGCTAGCGAAGGAGGGAAAGCAAATTTTAACATAGGCGCCATCTCCTCACGTCCATCAAGAATCCAAACAGGAAGGGTTGCTGACTCGGTTGGGCCAAGTAGACCGTTAGCACCACCCCCTTAAAATTTATAATTAAAATTTCAATATAAAAAAATAAAAGTACCAAGTTGATAAACATAACTCGCACTAGCATCAGCATGAATTTGAAGATAGTTGTACTCTAGGACAGAATTCATTGGTTTACGTGTACCGCCCATTAAACGAGACATTAGGGATGATTTACCAGAACGTTCATTTCCTTGAAATTTAAAATAAAATAGAAAAAATTAGAAAAACAAACCCAAAATTATCAAACTACTACGCACAGCATTGTTATTTTTATTGCTAACTTCTTGAAGTATTTTTAGCCAAAGTTCGTCGCCGTCATCTGATTGACTAGAAGGAATGGTGCTTGGTCTTTCAGTACTAGGAGGTAATCCATCCAAATAATTAGTTCCCATACCAGTAATCATAAAAAAGTTTAAATGTTACAAAATCTGAAAATTTAAAAATCAGGAACAAAAAATATACAAATAAAACAAATGCTGAATTCCTCGAAAAAATAACTAACTTAAAAAAACAAAAGAATAAAAATTGGCATTTTGTAAATTGACGTTTTTACATTTTACAATTCATAATCTCCCCCTTTGCTTAAATGTTAATTTGAAAATTGTTGAAATGTAAAATTTACGAAATGTTTGCGAAGAAATGTTCTAAATTTTTAATTTATGGGGGAAAGCGAGACGTTCGAATGTTTGTGTATTTTGTTCGTTGTATTGATTGGTAAGCATTTTTTGTAAAATTCACATGGTATTAAAAGCTAAAGAATAATTTCCTATACACTTTTTTAGAATTAGCTATGAATAATTAGAAAGCATTGATAAAATAAAAGTAAAATAATTCGCAGACAGAAACTAGACTAGTTTATTTTTTAAAAATATGGTTTTCAATGTATTTAAAAATATTTTTTTTTGTAATTTTTCAATTTTTATCTCATTGATTTTTTGTTTAATTTACACATTGTTTCCATTCTTTTGTCCACCGGCATATTAGTCATGACTGTGTAGCTAATTGTAAGTTAATAATTGACTTCAAAATCTTTCTATCTTACATAAATATTTTTGGGTTTTTTCTTTTATTTTGATCACTTCCATTCGATATGTAAGCATTTCTAAAAGAAAATGTCCAACTCGACGCGTCAAAAATTTTTTCTCGAACATGTAAATCTTACTACTATATTTTTTCCAACCTCTTATAAATTTGTACACTTCTATTAACGGCGATTTTTAATTTTTTGTCTATTTGCATGAATATCGGATTTTCCTATTCCGAAGAACATCCTTTAATTTAATTTAAGATACTTTTTTATTTTAGATTAGATATTTAGTCAAGGAAAAGTAGAGGGCTGTATAGGAGGTTTGACAACATATTTTGAAATGAGGGAAGAATCGGAAAAAACTAGTGACCAGTTGCATTCTCACGACGAGGTAATTTTTGTAATGTAGCATTACCTTTATTTTTTATGTTTAAGGACGCAAATAGGAATGACCAAGATCAAGAAGACGACGAGGTTTAAAAATTAGTGTAATTCATTTTAGTTTTTAGATACTCGAGGAGTCTCCATGCAAAAGGTGGTCAAAGCGCTGTGAAAAAGTGAAGCAGCGCGATGTTCCTGGGATTGACGCATCGTACTTGGCAATGGACAACGAAACGGGAAATGAAGTAGTCTGGAATGAAGTACTATTCTCCGAACGTAAAAATTTTCGTGATCAAGAGGTTAGTTTTTCTTAACTTAACAATACCCTGGAAGCTATTTAAGTTATATGTCTTTACTGATATTTATTTTCTACTTTAAGATTAAGATTAAATTATTTGAATCAAAAATTTTTTTATCCAGGAGAAGATTAGAGCTGTTTTTGATCATTTGACTCGTCTTGACCATCCAAATCTTGTGAAATTTCACAAATATTGGGTTGACACTAAATCGAATAAACCGAGGGTATTTTTTATAATTAAACTGTAATTTGGTTATTAATTATATGAATATAGTTTTTTTCCTTAAAAATTTGTCAGGAACAACCTCGTAGCCAAAATTTTCGCCTGCGGCTAAAAAATTAAAATTTTTGTTCCCTTCTGTGTCAAAAATTTGGCGCCGAGAGGAATTTCCTCCGATGCCTCCCCCTCCCTCCTCGAAAATTTTTCCTGGTTACGGGTCTGGTCAGGAACATGAAAGATTTTGGTTTTTTCCTATGATCAGATTTTTTGCCAAAATTTCCATTAGAGAATATTTTTATATCTTGAATTTTTTCTTTTAGATAATTTTTATAACTGAGTATATGTCTTCTGGTTCAATGTCTCGTTTCTTACAGAGAGCTCGTTCTTCAGGCACACTTTTAAACATCAAAGTATTAAATTTTATTGGTCTTTTATCTTTATTTTTTGTCCAAGGCTTGGAAGAATTGGAACCGCCAAATTCTCTCTGCTCTTTCTTATCTACACTCTTGTGATCCACCAATCGTCCATGCGAATTTGACTTGCAATACAATTTTTATTCAACAGAATGGGCTTGTCAAAATTGGTTGTGGTATGTATACTTGAAGAAAACAAGTTTAATAATTTTTTAGTTGCTCCGAATACAATTCAACATCATGTCAAGACTTTCCGGGAAAATATTAAAAATATTCATTATATGGCTCCAGAATATGACCGTGAGGATTGTTCTTTCACATATTTCGCCAATGTATTTTTTTAAAGATTTGACTGAAGCAACAACCCAAGCAGACGTTTACTCGTTCGGCGTTTGCGCTTTGGAGGTTTTTTTCAAATATTTTGATAGTCAATACGTTGTTCTGTTTAGATGGCAACAACTGGAGCATTGCTCAGTGGATCGTTAAATGGTGGTGGCGAAAAGGAAAAGGAAAAACTTGCCAACTCAGCTGATGCTATTACGCCGACAGTATCTTCATCTGCTGGCTGTGGTGGTTTTCATCTAGTGACTGAGGAATTGCTGAGAAAAGGAATCGATTTACTCGAAGATCTGGAGCAAAAGGCTAGGAACTTGAAATAAACAAAAGTGCAATATTGCTAGTTAGTCTCCGTTATCTCTTTGGGGTACCAGGTATAATATGGATTAATTGGGTTGTTTAATTGGAATTGATGCGTGACCAACTGCCTGTTTATTATGCTTGTATAATTTCTTCCGTATTGTTTTTCATGGTCACGCATGAGTCCATTTTATTACCTATTCTTTCCCTCTTAAGGTGACAACATAGAGAATATGAGGGCATATTTTCAAATTATTTTTAAATCTTGCATCTTCGTTTTTAAGCATTAAATTATTCTTTTAGGAATTTATTGAGCGTTGTCTTGAACATGATCCGATTCGTCGAGCAAATGTTGAGGAGTTGCTAAGTCGGCTAGGCCTTCCTGAACCTGATAAACAAGATGAGACTAGTCTGGATGAGGATGGCTTTTTAGATGATCAACGAAATCAAGATACTGCTCATTCATCTCTTGAACCAACTCATGTTGTAATTCCAGAAAGGGCAGTTTCTTCCCCACCGCAAGAACCAGCACCAAATATTGACAGATATAAAGCAATACCACCGGCAGCAAATACTCATAAACAGACTGCTGCAAATATTGCTTCAAATACTAAACAAGACGGGTATTTTTTTAAATAATTCAAATTCCTGAGAAAAGGAGTCCATTTGATTTGCTTTTTATTGTTTAATTGGTGTTTAAATTTACGTCAAATCCCTTAATAGTCCTTATTTTTACTTATTTTTAGGTATAACATTCACTTTACAACAATTACGCCAATAACTACTACAACAAACTCAACTGCTGTTTCTGCAGCTGAAGCTGTTGTTTTGACCACTCCTGCTACATCGACAGTTACGACAAATACATTGCTTAATCCACAGAACACTTCTATACAAGATGAGGGTTATCACACGAATCAAAGCATTGGGGAAGCACCTGGACAAAGTTTGCCTTTTTTGAATCGAATTCTTTTTAAATCATACCTTAAATCCTTAAATTCATAAATGTCTTTTTCGTACCTAAAAAAGACATTTATGAGTTTTTTTTCGCACCTAAAATCCCTCTTTCGTACCTGAAATCTTTTAATTCATAAATGTTTTTTATCTAGAAATAGAATATTTCTAAAATATTGCGATATTTTCTAAAATGTTTAATTATTCTCTTTCAGCTAATGATACTTCAATATCTGAAAAATCATCTGTTTCTCAACATCAACAACATCAGGAAACTCGCCTAATTACACAAATGCATGCTGAAATATTGGAACAAGGCGGGTATCATTTGCGTATTCAACTTCAATTGGACGATCAAATGAATAGACAATTGACTGCACCACTTAAGGAAGAGGACACGGCTGAGACATTATCGGAAGAATTGGTTCAGCATGGATTTGTTTCTGAAGTAAGGGTTTTATTATATGTATGTATTTTTAAATAGGTATTCGATTAGAATTTGAGTTAGAGGGGTCCCTTGTGAAAAAACGTATAGGGAAAATAATAGTTTTAGCCAATTTTTGCGATTTTATGTTCGGTAACATGGACGTTAATAACCGATCTTTAAAAATTGGGTTTGGATGAAAATAGATTAAAATTGAAATAGCAAGGTAGAGTTAAGCGAGATTTCCACTTGTACTATTCTTTTCTCTTGAGAATATATTAGAATATAAGCTTGTTAACTCTGGATTTTTTAAAGATGTATTCTCTATTTTAGAGTAATTCCTTGAAAGTGCGAGAACTATTGGACTCAATTATAAGTGAATATCGATCTAGGAAATTGAAAAAAGCTGAGCGTTGAATGTATGGGATATAATATATATGTACTTTTTCGTTATTTCTATTGACCTTTTACCCAATCATAATTGCAAGGACGTAATCAGGAGTCGAATTTCAGAGGCTATAAAATAGGTGTACGCTAAAATTTTGGCATTTACTTTGTCGTTCTGACCCTGGATACGCCTTTGCATAATTGTAATTGGTGTACCAGCCCTTATGTTGAATTTTTACATTTTTAAATAAATAAAAATTCAAAACTCGCTTATATACATATTTAAATATATTTATTTTTTTGCCCGTAAATTTCCGCCCATAAATTTCCGTCACTAAAATTATCCAAAAATTCATTTCACACAAAAGCAAACTAGTGCTAGTGGCGATAATTTGAGGGATGTCTCCGACAGTGATGTCCTCCCTCTCCATTATTTCCACATTTCCCATGCTTCTCAAACTTCCTTTCCTTTTTATGCTTTTATTTTTTAAACAATTTTCCTTTAAAAAGATTTGTGCTTTAAAAAAGATTTTTTTACAATTAAAATGTTTGTTTTTCTTGAAGTATAGATTTTCAATAGATTTTCACATTAGACAAAATTGTAACTTTCTGTTTAATAATCTTTTATATAAGGGGAACTTGATATGTCCATAAATATTTTATTAATCATTCTAAAAATGCAGTAAATAAATATAACAGCAATTATTTGGTTGCCTAGGAGAAAACTGAGCTATAATTTTTTTTATATTTTTAGACAATAGGAATAATTGTTGAATTATTTTATAAAATTCTATAAAAATAAGTACACATTTCTTTGTAAAATTTAAGATGGGCCTATGACAAACCGCTGCAAGGGCTGTCAATTTTTATATTATTTTATCGACTGAAACGGAGTCGTCTCACTAACAACAAAAAAGGAAAAAGAAAATAATATTTTTTTGTTATTCCTATAATTTTTAAAAATTAACTTCCTTATTTAAAAACTTTTAATGGCCGATGATGAAGATTTTTTAAGTGAAATGCGTGGAAATGCTGGTCGTCTTTCTGATTGTTTAAGTTCGCTCCTTCATCGAATAGAGCAATTAGAAACACAAAAAATTATTAAAAATATTGAAATTAATTCAAATCATAATGAAGAAATATTATCATCACCTACAACAATTACTGATAAATTGGTTTTAAATTAAAAATTATAACTTAAATTTGGAGAAATCAAAAATTAGATAAAGGGATATAATTTAGTTTATAAGAAGAATTCTACATTTTGTATTTATAAAGATTACTGTCGGGCCTTAAGTTTAAGTAACTCTGAGTTAAAAAATTAAACCTGAACTCAAGTGTATACAATATTGGATCGCTTAGATATTTAACTACAACACAGTGGCTAAATTTAAGAAATGTATCTCAAATCGAGTTGTGTTTGATAATAAGTATACTGTAAAATGAGGTTCGATTGTATAACATTAAGACGGTATTTAATAATTTATTACATGGTATTAAAAATAAAAATATTTACTTAGAAAATTAGGAGTTAAAAAATAGGTAAGGTAATTCTAATCTGTTAGTAATCTTTTCTTGTAAATTTAAGCTTTTCTTTAATTTTTAGTTAAATGGAAAAGGAAAATTTTATGATAGTCAATTAACCTCTCGTCGTGAATACCTCAGTGTCGATCCATTTTCTGGTCTACGCAAATTAGTTACTATAACTGAACGTCCATTACCTAGTGGCCCTTTACGTGCCCAATCGCCCACACAATTAAATAGTCCAGAAACAGAACAATTAATTCAAAATAAAAAACATTTATTGGCTAGTGCTTATGAATCTAGAATTGTTGAAATACAACCAAATTTATTAGAAGGATTAGAAGTGGAACAAATTTGTGGTAATTTTTGATGTAAAATACCGTATTTATTCTAATTGAATGGCACCTCCATTTGAATGGCACCTCCAATAGAATGACACATTTTTGAATGAATGAAAAATAGAATGGCAGCCTCTATTTGAATGGCACCTCTAATAGAATGACACTTTCTAACTATTAAATACCTAACTCTCATTTCTTTATTCCCTTAATTAACTAGTTTAATATTCCTATTTAGTATGATAGTTCCGATATTTTTGAGCATGTCTAGGGCACAAAAGTGGTGTTTGATAGGGATATCAAGGGATTTGAGAGGATAATGAGGGATAAAAACATTTGACGAAGATATCTGGGATTAAAATAAAATGATTATGGTGTGATATTTAGTAGAGATGTCCGAGACCGAAAATTTTTCAACCCCAAAGACTTGACCCCAAGACCCGAGATCAAGACTTGACTCTGAGTCTCAAGATTAGTAATTAACAATTATCCCGCCAAATCACCCAACATCCTCTTCAAACTCTCGATAACCCTCCAAAACGCAATATCACTCCAAATGTCACTTGATCCCACTATATTTCACCAGAATTCCACGATTTAATAAGCAACCAGGACCCAACTATGCAGGAAATTTTGATTGTATTGCACCTATCTTAATCAAAATTTGACACATTAGTCCCGGATCAAAAAACTTTTGAATATTATAGTGATGTGTAGAGGAAAATTCACTATTAAAATTCTAAAATATCGAATTTTCCAAAAAAAAAGTTGGTCGAATTGCCAATTTTCCCAATCACCCATCTCAATCTCAACAATCCCAATATCAATTTTTGACCTATGAAAAATAGAATGGCAGCCTCCATTTGAATGGCACCTCCAATTGAATGACAATTTTTTGGGGTATTGAAAAATAGAATGGCTGCCATTCTATTAGAATAAATACGGTAAATTATTTAAAATATATTAGAATAGCACTGTTAGACACCTCCAGAGTTAGATAACCTAAATATAAAATCGTTTTGTTTAATTAGATTGGTAGTTGGATCAAGGGAGATACCTAACCGATACTTTTATTTAAGTTAAACCGCATCTCCTTATCTCTCATTATGCTACTTAGATATCTCTTAAATCACCCTTAATTAATCCAGAACTCCTTCAATCGGAGGATATCATGGATATCAATCCCTTTGTATACAACAAATCCACTTATATCAACGCCATAATCCCCATTTATCCTTGGAAAATTTTCGGTTCAGTTAACCGAAAAAATTGGTCGTGAAACCGACAACCTTACTCATAAGATCAAATTTTTTCATCTTTAAGAATATTGTTTTATATTGAGCTTACTTTTATTAGTTTGACTATTTAAATTCTTGTTAAATAATTATCTGATAATAGTTAATATTTTTAGGTCAATTTGTGGCTGTTAAAGTAACCCCAGAATTATCAAAATTTATTAGACCAGGAGATACACTTGTTGAGGTAATTTTAATTAAATTGTTAAGAAAATAAAAATATTAATTTTTTAGTTAGATGGACAGCCATTTATTAATAAAAAACAAATTTATCAACCTAAAGGAGCTGTTCAAATAAAATTAGTTTTGTCTGATTTGTATTCTGCTCCAATGGTTTTAAAATAATAAATTTAACATAAATTATTTTTTTAAAGGAATTTTGTCGAGTTTTAGATGATTACAAAGCTAATATTATTTCTGAAAATATAAATCAAAATTTATTGCCATATTTATCTTTTTCCTTACAACGTGGGGATATACTTCAAATTCTCTCAAAAAATGAAAATTATTTTCAAGTAATTACAAAAAAAATATTTTTAAGGAAAAATTAACATTAATGCTTTCGGATGCTTTTGGCCCCTTGGGAAAATTTTGGAGAAATTGAAATTTTTCTTTGAAAAACGGATATCTCTCTTGATATCAGCGGTAGATATTGTCAAAAATGGTTGGGGATATAAACGTTCAGGATATAACCTAAAAATTATTTGAATACGGCCATCAGTAACTTTGGGAATGCCTGACACAGTTCAAAATATACTTACCAATATAATTTTTTAAAATTTAATCCCCTCTTTTCCAAAAAGGCCAGAAAAGTTAATGATTTATCTACTTCTGGTTTTGTCCCAAACAATATTCGAACTCGCCCTGTGGCAATGTTATGCCCTTATGGAAGAAGAGTTATTGCATTAATTGGCGCTAATGGGGTTGGAAGAAGATCTTTAAAGAAAATGTTAATTGAATATAGACCTTATGAATTTGCTGGGGTTGTTCCAAGTATTTTATTTAGAAAAATATTTATTTTTTAAATAAAATAAAGTTACTTCACGAGCACCAAAACAAGGAGAGCAACATGGGAGAGAATACTTTTTTGAACGAAAGGAGGACGTTTTACAATTAATTCGTGATAGACAGATGATTGAATGGGGGGAATATAATGGTAATAAAAAATAAATTCGGATCTCATAAAATACGCCTTGGGGCTAGAAAATTGCATCTTATAGTGAAGCATACATCAATGCTGGGTATGGCTCCGGGAGCTAGCTCAGGAGCTGAAATTTTAAAATGACCGGAGCCGGAGCCAAAAGTTTGAAAAAAGTCCGAAACGAGATTTTTGAAAAGCCTGGACCTGTTTCTGAACTCTGGGGCTTGATTTATTGACTTGGCCCGGATCCTGGCTGGTACAGGAAAACCCAGGCCTTGGTCCAGGTCCAGCTCGATCTCTAATGCCCACTACCCAGCACTTGCGTACACCCCGAATCTCTTCGAGAGGACCGATTGTAATATAAAATCATATTATTAATCCTTAAAAATGCAGACCAACTTTATGGAACTACAGCAGAATCTGTCCGTCAAGTTATCCGTTCTGGACGTGTTTGTGTTTTGGATTGTTCTCCAAAAGCAATATCTAGTTTATATAATTCTGAGTATTTTTATTTATTTTTTAAACAAAAAAAATATTTTTTTATAAAAGATTTATGCCATTTATTGTCGTTGTTGCCTCACCAGAATTAGACGAACTTATTCAATTAAATAAAGAACAAACAAATAATTTAGAGAATTTGAAAAATATTTGTGAACAAAGTTGTAAATTTGTTAATGAAAATGAGTGGGCAAAACAAGCAGATTTATTACTAATTAATAGAAATAGAGATATTTCTTTAAGAAGGTTAAGAATTTAAAAAAATTTATTTTTAATTTTTTTGCAGACTTTTGGATGCATTAGAATCATTAAAATCAGAATCTCAATGGATTCCTTTAGAATGGCTACAAACTAATTTCCAAGCTCCTCCTCAACAAACTACTAAAGTAACCAAAAGGAAATAATCTTCATCTCTTTTAATTTTGTAGAAATTTTGAAATATTTTCGATTAATGATTCACTACAAAATTTTGTATTTTAATATTTTTTATTAAACCCTGAGAATAATTTCCCTTATATTTTCAAATTTAAAAGATCTCCTTATTTTCTCTGTGTATCTCAAAAATAAATTTAATATTAATTTTATTTATAATTTTGAATAAATAATTAATAAATAGACTTTGTTTTTTATTAATTTAAAATAAAATGTAATGTAGCTAATGGGCGTGATCAACCTTCATCAACCTTCTTACTAGGTAGCCCCGATTGCACTTCCCTCCCAATATCCCCTTATATTCTGGGCATCGTTCCTGCATAACTTCGGCACTATATTTTGGAGAATATGGAAAATAAATATAATTTTTAAAAAATTACAAAAAATTAAATTTAATTATTAAAACACAAAAATAAAAAAACATAAAAAATTTCAAAACACTGAAAAATCTAAAAAATAATTTTCAAAGTTATTTTTAGAATAAATTCAAAAAATAGCAAAAATATATTCACGTGTATTTTACATTATATTATTTAAAAATATTCAATTCTATTCGAAAGCAAAGTTGGTTCAAAATTTATCTTTGGAATATTAAAGCTTTTCTCAACATTACATATAATCTAAAATACACGTGAATATATTTTTGCCAAAAATGGAATTTAAACTTCAATAAAAAAAGATTTAAAAAAATAAATAGAAAAAATAAATTACTTAAAAATACCCAAACTACAAAATTATTAAAAAAATTAAACTACAAATTTAAATGCAAAAATAAAGTATATATTTGAAGCTTATTTAAAAAATAAAAAAAACTTATTTAATTTCTAAAAATTACCCAAAGTCAAGAAAATATACAATTTTTTGTTTTGTATATTCAAAAAATATAAAATTGAAAAAAGATGAAAATCACATGAAAAATATAAAGTAAATAATAATTATTTAAATAATCATAAAAAATATTATTTATCCCTTTAATAATCATAAAAAATATTCTCAAATATTTCTCTTGTTATTAACAAATTAAAAAACTTTTTTTACCTTTTTAAAAATAATTTTTCTTTTAATTTATTTAGTAAAATCTTTTTATATTTTTATTTAACCAAAATAAAATGCCATAAATGCCCAAATAGAATCCCACCCCAAACACAAGCCCATGCCCTGTTAGAGGGGTATTGAAAAATAGAAGCTTAGGGCTTGTATTAATACATTTATTTATCTTTTTAATTTTTTAATTTATATTTTTAATAATTTTTTAGATAAATTAAAGGTACTTTTCGGTTATGAGGTTACACATTTAAAAATTTTAAAAAGTTCTCAAAATGGTCAATATATCATATAAGTATAGGGTAGAAAAAGGTGCTGAGTCGAACGGTACCAATCTTTTTTCAAGAAGATTCTTGTGGACCGAGATATAGGGCTCGAAATGGTCAAAAACCATAGGGAGTAGTAAGCTCATTTTTGGAGTGAAAAATTCCATTTTTTTGAATGATAGCTCATTCGAAAGAGCTCCTCGAGTTGAGTCGAATGGCACCAAAATCAAACCGATTTAAAAAGTTTGGACAAAGCTATGATCGTTTGTTTTATCTCCTTGCCTTGGACTCCCTATGATTTTTGACCATTTCGAGCCCTATATCTCGGTCCACAAGAATCTTCTTGAAAAAAGATTGGTACCGTTCGACTCAGCACCTTTTTCTACCCTATGTATGATATATTGACCATTTTGATTACTTTTTAAAATTTGTAAATGTGTAACCTCATAACCGAAAAGTACCAAATTAAATAAAAATGAAATTTCTGTTTTTCAATTTTTTTATTTTAATAATTGTTCTAATTAATATTGGAAATCCGTCATTAATTGTTTTGGCAAATAAGAAGAAAGCTAAGAAAGGCAATTTGATTTTTGAACAAACTCGACAAAAACGCCAATTTGAAAGTGTTATTGCAAACTTGGAGAAAGGAAAAATTGGAGGATTTCAAATAAATGATGGACAATGAGATGAAGAAGAATAAAAAGAAAATAATGAGTTGTGATAAAAGAAAATTAAAAAGAAAAAATTAAAAGAAAAAATTTGGGTTAAAATATTTAAATTTGGGATTTAAATAAATATTTTGATAATTTGTTAAAAATTAAAATTTCCTAAAAAGATTTTAATTATAACCATAAGAACATAATTATAATTGGATACGGCCCTTCATCAGGGTAATTAGCGAAAATTGTTGCAAGTTCCATTTGTTCTTCATTTTCTTAAACATATTTTTAAATCAAAAATAGGAGCAAATCGAGTAAAACTTTTTTTTACTTTTTTATCTCAACTTGGACAAATCAATTTGGACAAAATTCTATAATTTTTTATTTTTCCTTAATTTAAGATAAAATGTAGTGTAAGGTGAATTGCTAATGGGCTTGAGCAACCTCGAAGCCCTTCAGCCCGATTACACTCCCCCCCCCCCCGATATCCCTTTATATTCGATGAGTTTGTAGCTTCCATTACTTTCTGAATTCAAATATAATTTAAAAATCTAAATAAAAAATATTTTCTATTTTGAAATAAAGCAATGTGTAAAGCTTAACTGAGCTATAGCTATTATTTCTCCCTAAGCTAATACAAAAGGCTCCCGAATCTTTAGTTGACCGGGCCATTACATCATGCCGCCTCCTGCATAGCCTTAGGAATTAAACAGCTACATATATGCTTTAAATACTTATAAAAATACAGTTAAAAAAATAAAATAATAATTTCTAAAATTAACAAAATAATTCTTCCTCTTCTTCATTTTCTGTTGTTTTGTCTTCATCTGGACTTGCAATTGTACAAACTTTTTTTAAATTTTCTTTTTCTACAAAATCATTTTTAATATTTAAATTAATTCCCCCATTTCTCCAATTTTTATTTTCTTCTTTTTTATTTTTTAATTTAAATTGTTTATTTAAAATTAATGAAGGATAATTATTATGCCATCCAGAATGTATTTCTGATGAAATTGAAGAATCTGAGAATGAACTTGATGAGAGCCGTTTTCTTTTCTTTTTAGGTGCTGAAATTGTTGTTCGATGCAAAATTCTTTTTAAAGTTGCCTAAAAATTAAAAAAAAATATTGGTTTAGTTAAATGCCTTTAGAGAAAAAACGATTTTGCTGTTTACGATTAAGCAATTTATAAACTTTAAGCTGGCAGGATTCGAACCTGCGGCCTCCTCGTAGTTATTGCTTTGCGCTTTCACTTACCACATACACGAGTTCTACCACTAAGCCAGATCATCGACTAATGCTTCTGCATCACTTTAAAATCGTTTAACCTCCACCTAAGCGTTTTAAATGAATGAATCATCTAGTTAAATCATCCTTACACGATTATTATTTATTAAAATAAATCTAGTATACAATCTGACATTATTTGCGCTATACCTCCCATGGACAAAAATCTATGCTAATGTTTGAGTGTCTTATTAAGGATGTCATACAGTTAAGGTTCACTGTATTATTCTAAATTAATATTTATATATCAACTAACACGAGTAGCTATAAGCATTGGTTTATTACAAACACAATAAATTGGAAATCGAAGAGTACTAAAAAATAAAAAAATATTTTTATATTTATTTTGAATTAATTAGGTACCTCGAAAGTAATGTCAAAATAGGAATAATATCGTTGGCATAAGAATAAATTGGACGAAACTCGTCCTCAGTAAGTCTTTCGGGTGAAAATGTTTCAAAGAAGGTAACAGCAACTTGTAATACTTTGGACATTAAATACATTGAAACAACTGAAATTAGTGCTCGTGTTGCTGCTCTTAAATTCTTTTTTTGTGTTTGATCTTCAATTTTATTAATATTCTGAAAAAATATTAATTAAATTTATTTTAAAATAATTTAAAAAATTATTAGAAATATTCTAAATTTGAAAAAAAATTTTTTTTAATTATTTCTTACAATCAATCCTATTTAGAATCTATATTTTTGTAAGCTTGCGAGTAAGATTGGCGGCTCCTGGAAAAACTCCAGTACCGGAACTGATACTTGAGCAGAAAATTTTGGGTACCCGGGGGGTTTATTCCGGTTTCGGATACCCGCAACCGCCAACCTTATTTGCGAGGCATCTATCAATAAGAGCCAGTTCCAAAAAAAGAGAACTCAAAAATAAACGAAAATAACGCAAAACTGATTAATGCCCATCTGCTATTTACATTTCTTGTTTTATTTTTCTTATTTAACCAAATTTTAATTTTATTAGGAAATAAACAGAAAATTAGAATAATTAAACTCACAATTATTTTTTTATTTTTATTTCTTATCCAGCTCTTATTCTTCAAACTTTCTCTAATTGATCTAAAACTAGTATTATTATTATCTTTTTCATATCCATTTAATATTAATGAATTTTGTTGAATATTATTGTTACATAATAAACAAGACGAACAAAAATTATTAGAATGTTGTGAGCAATTTTTGTTGAAATTATTTTGATTAATAACTTTTTTGCTTTCTCTTCTTAATGCGCGAACAATGTGGAAATTTAAAATAACTAATATAAAGAATGGCAATATGTGATCAACCTTTTAATTTAAAAATTTTTCAATTAAGAAGAAAAACAAAATAGTAATTACCAAATTTCGAATAACAAACATCATCCAAAATCTTTAAAAAAATAAAATTAAATTTTGTGTCAAATTTTGTTTTAGATATTCATAAAATTAAGGTCCTAATTTAAAATTTAAGAACGTTTTTGAATAAATTTCTCGACATTTAAGCGATAACTATTACAATTTAAGACACCCAACCCCTAATCCTATTTCAATATCTATTTTTCACTTTTAAGATAGTGTATGTTGTTGGTTTTGGGTTTAATATAAGTACAAATAGTGGTTGATTGTGCTTAATAGTGTGTGCCAGCTTGTGCTTTTTAAAGTCTGCTTTTTAAAACACTTTTGGTACACCCCTGGTATTTACTATAAATTAGTAATTTCCAAAAATTATTTTAAATTAAAATAATTTAATTTTACCTATAATTAGCAAAACCAAATAGCCTAAATAAAGGATTAGGATTATAAGCATGAACAGCAGAAATTACTTCAAATTGTTCAAATCTTTAACAAAATATATTTAAATTTAAATATTTTAATTAATTAATTACCCTTCACAATCTTTATTTTCAATTAATTCAATCTCAAAATAAGTACATAATTTATATGCAAAAGCTATAGAAATTACAAACAGTGTAACTTGTCTTCTATTTCTTTCCAAAATCCTTTGAAATTTTTAAAAATTATTTTTAAGAATCTAAAAATTTCTGTGTCTACTTTCTCGCTTTTTTTATTTGTTTTCCTTCAAATGTAAGCAATAATCTTTCTGTTGTTGCCAATAAAATCATCAGAACAGAAGCAAAAACAGCAAAATTCGAAAGTGTTAACATTGGACGTAAATATGAGACAAATAAATGATAGAGCCAAAGCAATTTAAATTTGTCCACTTTAAAAATTAAAAAAATATATAAAATTATTTTTATTTAAAATTAAATGGCAAAAATTTTTTGAATTTAAGTTTTGGATTTTTTGGATTTGAAAATTGGATTGAAATTGGAATAATTTTTAATCTTATATAATATATAAATAAATTATATAAATAATTAACTATAAGCAGGCACTGCCATTAATGCAATATAAAGCCATGCTAAAGCCAAATCTAAAATTGCCAGAACACCAAAATAAAAAAGTGGAGAGCGACCAAGTTTTGGATTTAAAGCAAAAACTAAAACCTGGAAAATAAATATTTTTTAATTAAATATTAAATAAATAAATTACAAGGAAGGCATTAAGCAAAAATGATATCAAAGCTAGTCCACTAGCAAAAACACCAATCTGAAAAAAATTATTTTTTTTTAAATCAAAAATTTAATTAATTTACCAAAATAAATTTAACTTCAATATATTCTGTCCCCTTTAAATTATTTTAAATTAATTTAATTAATTTATTTTCCAATTTAAATACCTCATAATGACAATTACTTTGTTCTTCCATAATTAAAGAAAGATTTTTATCATTACTATAATTTTCAGAAATATTTAATAAAATTTTTGTTTGATTAATTGTTGAGATTTCCATTTTTATATGGAATTAATTATCTAAAAAATGTTTTTAAATTATATAAATAATAATTAGTTCCAGACGAATATTAAATCACAACAAAGGAAAGATAAGAAGTTAATTAATTAGGAAGTAATTAGTTAAATTAAAATTAAGATAGAAAACAGTACATATTAATATATTTTATTTAAAAAATAAGAAAAATTTTCTTTATAAAAATATTTTATTTAAAAAATATATTTAGTGTATATAAGTGTAATTGGCAGCTTTACACAATTCCAAATTATTTAGAATTTTTTTTTCGTTAGAAAAATAGATAATATAATTAAGAGTCTGTTTATTGTCAAATACAGAATTATTAATTGAAAAATAAAAAACGGAAGTGGAGGATGAATAAATAGAGGAGAGAGGAATGAATATAATTTTAATAATAAAAAGAATAAATAAATTATTTAAATAAAAATAAATGTTTCGATTTTAAATTATTAAAGAATTCTTCATAAATACACTGATATGTACATACATGTAATCTAACTTCACAGGACAACTTTTTGAAGTTGTTCGATTGTATTTTTTAGCAAGACTTGTAGAGGAACAACCCCTTGTCCTTAGGAAAATTATGGTAGAGAGAGGAAGGGAGTAGAATGCAGCAAAAATTAATTTTGCAGAAAGTCATTTGCAGACATGTGGACCAGAGGGGGTCGGAACAGTCAGAGGTGTCGGAAATCGGAACTGGCTCAAAAGTCGGAACTCGGAAATCGGAAATTAAAATTTTTTTCGGAAATCAGAAGGAAAAAAACGTCGGAAATCGGAATTTCGACCCACCTCTGATGTGGACGATGAGCTGGACATTTACCGAATAGGGCAAAGAATTTTAAATTAATCAGCAGAACCTGCTAAATAAAATTCTTAAAACGATTATTTAAAAATTAACAAAACTCTTTTTTTCAAATATTAAATAATTTAATTTAAAAATTTAAATTATTTTTAAATTTAAATTGATTTAAAAATAAAAATAATAAACAAAAAAGAATAGCTAAAAGGATTTAAGTTTTTAATGAGTTTTGTCTCACATTTCTTTCCTTTTTTTAAACTTTTTTTTGTAAAAGCCATCTTTGAGGGTTTATTTTTTCCCTTATATTTTGTGTGACGCTAATGAAAATAAAAAAATCTTTTTTTTAAACAAACGACTAAATATTTTTTGGTTTTTAAAGAAAATGAGCTTTTTTAGAAGGAAAAAAGGTAAAATTTACCATGCATTTTTGAGTAAAAAACAAAAGAATTTATTAAATATAACTCTAAAATAAATTGACCAAAGCACAGAAGAAAAGTTTATTTTATTATTATTCTCTCACGACTAAAAAATTTTTTTGTCGGTTTTTGGTCTTTTTCTTTGTTTTTTAATTTACAAAATATTGTTTCAAGAAAAAGAGAAAATAGATACAAATTTACGTGGGTACGATAAGTGGTATTACGTAGGTTCTAAGGGGAGTGCAGAAACAGATTTTAAAAAAAAGCGAAAGACGAAAGTAAATTTAAAAATAGGGTTGGGGTTTTCAGTCGGGCAGACGTTCGAGTAATTTTTCGGACCACATTTTTATCGGGCCGGCCCACCGAGTCTTCTTTGGGCCAAAATTCAATGTCCGACTCGATCTTTCGGACCGGGCCGGATCGTGCCCCCAACCCTGTTTAAAAAGCGAAATATGAAAGGCGAAAAGCACATCCCTGGTATGTACTTGTACATATTTTTAATTAAAAATAAAAATATTAGAGGAGGGAATATCCTCTTAATTAAAACTTCTTCATCAGAATTAAAAGAGAATGAAAATAAAAAAATAATTATTTTGTCAAAACTTTGAAAATTACCGACAATTTTTGTGTATATTCTTTAAAAAAATTTTTTAATTTTAAATTAACTTACATAAATTTTTGCAAAAAAATAAATTAAATTAAAATAGGCAAAGGAATATTTTCTACATAAATATTCAAAGAACAGACTTAATGAATTTGTTTTTTAAATAAATTATTTTGTTGAAAGACTCATCCTCTCGAAGAAGAAGAACATTAATGGATGCTTACTAAATTAATGAAAAAAATAAAAAAATAAAAAAACCTTTTTTGGAGAATTACGGGGCAATGGGACTTAAATTAACTCCAAAAAATTTCTGGAAAAAATAAAAATAAAAAATTATTTTAAAACTTATTTTGAAAGCAAAGGACGTTGTTCTTACACAGAATGCCCTCTAACTGGTGGTCCTTTTAATTTCTTTCAAAAATTTTACTTCCTACTTTTGTCCTAAATATTTTGAAGTAACATTTACATAATTTAGAGACTTTGGAGCTAGTTGACAAATGATTTATAGACCAGACATTAATAAGGCTAAAATAAGCTAAGAAAATATTAAAATAAAAATGAAAGAAGTAATAACGTGGGGGCTTGGAAATTATTTTATAAAAAATTAAATAAATTTATTTATCTAATAAAATTAAATAAAGTTAATTTGCTAAATATGGCAAGTAATTCTAAAATAAAACTTAAAAGTTGTTGCCATAAATGACGAAAATTAATAACTGGCAATCCTTTTATTTGTTTCTATTTATATTCGAATTGGTTAATATTTTTTGAATAATTTAATTAAAAAATAATTAATTATTTTTGTTAATTTGACGTAATAAATACAAATAAATGGTTAAAAAAATTAATCATAAGCTAATAAAATTAAAAAATTATTTTAAAGTAAAATGGA